TCTCGATCACGTCTAAATACACGGTTGTGTTTATATGTAAACATAATATGAGATAGCTCGTTTGATATAGTTGGTTTCGCTTGATATTTCTCGATAGAAGGTTCACTCGTAAAGGATCGCTCGTAAATTGATCTTTTGTAAACTTCGCGGACTGGCCCGGTCCCAAAACGCTCCAATAGCCATCAAATTTCTTTCGCTTTCATTAAGCGAGGAATTTTCCACGAAGACGGCCGTTGCTTCAATTCATGCTCTCTAGGGTTCATTCTGAACCCTGGAACTTTATCCCACATGACTAAAATGCTGTTCGAGCTGGTGTTCAGTCCTCGCATATTTTGTGGAGCACCGTCAGGTTCTGATGCAGAAGTTAAAAGCTGAGTTATACAGTACCTTGTTTAAAAGTTTTACAGTACCTTGTTTAAAAGTTTTACAGTACCTTGTTTAAAATGCTGACACCCTTTTAAGTTTTTTTTTCTACTTGTCGTTAGCCTTTTCAACACTAGTTTTATTGTGTATCGAGAGCATTTACCATGATTAATAATGATAAAAAGGGAAAACGTACCAGAAAGATAGCGTGAAGGTTAGTAGTTACAATATCAGATAGAACCTGTATATGTTGATGCGGTTTTGTCTCGACATCCACCAAAAAATCTAGATAATCAAGGAAGATTACTTACTATCCTGATCTGTCCTAACAACAATGGGGTCACTGGATGGTCCATCTCCTTTGACTGTAGACGCAAACACTGTGATATTGTAGTTTACGTACTCCTTTAGATTCGTCAATTCCATTTGATGAACAGATCCATTTACTTGAAGATTACCAGTGTCATTTTCTGTTTGTGACTGGTAAGTAATGGTGTAAATCGTGATGTTACCATTCTGTTGATCAGCTGGAACTTCATCCCACATGACTGAGATTCTTGTTGAACTGCTGTTCTGTCCTCTCACGTTTTGTGGAGCACCATTAGGTTCTGACGCAGAAGTTGAAAACAGAGTTATAGTGCAACGAATGGGATAGGGTCTTAACACGTTGTGCTAACAGCGACCAGTTAGGGAACGTATTAGGGTAAAATCTATATACTGTAGGAAATTGGAAGATGATTTTCACTGCCACGTCAGGCCGGTTGTTCTCGAGAGCGAAATGAACTGGAGTTCAGTTTAGCGTATCTATTGGCCGTCAAAAACATGGAATGAATAGAAAATTAAATTGCATCATCACTTTCTTCAGAGATTTCTCTAAAATTTTGTACGGCCCCTTCAATGCTGAGTATTTTAGATCAATTAATTTGACATTATGCCTTCTTTACCTATAACTACACATCAAATGTTTGCTTTCAAAAGACACCTTTATCGTTTGAAGTTGTTGAAATACATTTAAGAATGAGGTTACCAAAACAACCACCCAAAAATAATGATTAGAAAAACTACTCACTATCCTGATCTGTTCTTACAACAATGGGGTCACTGGCTGGTCCATCTCCTTTCACAGTAGATGCAAACAGTGTGACATTGTAATTGACGTACTCTTTTAGACTCTTCAATTCCATTTGATGAACAGAACCATTTACTCGAACACTTCCGTTGTCATTTTCTGTTTGTGAGTGATAAGTAATGGTGTAGACCGTGATGACACCATTCTGTTGCGCAGATGGAACTTCATCCCACATGACTAAGATGCTGGTTGAGCTGCTGCTCAGTCCTCGCACATTTTGTGGAGCACCATCAGGTTCTGGTATGGAAGTTCAAAACAAGTTGACATTACACGGTTGGTTGGGTGTGCTTTTGTACGTGTCAATATAGTGAAGACATTCATTTAGCAATCGACTTTTTTTGTAATTATCGCAGACCTCCCTACCTTTATTGCTAGCTACTTGAGTGATACCAACAATGTATGCTGTACACAGTTGACACGTCTTGCTCTGAGATAACCATCAAATCAGAAAACTACCAAGGACCAGTTAAAGATCGTGTTTGAGTAAAATGTATATAATTTAGGAAATTTAAAGACGATTTCACAGCCACGTCAGATCAGGCATTTGTGAAAGGGAAATCACTGCAGTTCACTCCAGCGTTCTGAATTGACCTTTAGAAATATGGGAAGAAAAGAAAATGAAACTGTATAATCTCTTATCGCACAAAGATCTCTGTAAAATCTCCTACGGCCACTCAAGTGCTGAGTATTTTGGGATTAATTAATTTGGCATCATGAGTTTTTTTTACCCATAACTAAAAGAAATTTGCTTTCAAAGGATTCCTCTATCGGTTAAAGTTCTTCAAATAAATTAAAGAATGAAATTACCGACACAACCACCCAAAGATATTGATTAGAAAAATTACTTACTATCCTGGTCTGTTCTAACAACAATGGGGTCACTGGCTGGTCCATGTCCTTTCATAGTAGATGCAAACACTGTGATATGGTAGTTGACATATTCCTTTAGATTGGTCAATTCCGTTTGATGAACAGAGTCATTTACTTGAACAGTTTCATTTTCATTCTCTGTTTGTGAGTGGTAAGTAATCAGGGTGTAACCTGTGATGATACCATTCTGTTGATCAGCTGGAACTTCATTCCACATGACTAAGATGCTGGTTGAGCTGCTGTTCTGTCCTTGTACATTTTGTGGAGGACCGACAGGTTCTGATATAGAAGTTAAAAGTTGAGATATATTGTAAAGAATGTGACTGGGCATCAGTCACCACTAAGACATTGTGATAACCTGTTTGATTTCTCATACTTGTCATAAGCCTTTTCAACATTAGTTTCCTTGGGTATCGTGAACATTTACCACGAGTACACAAAAAGGGAAAACGTATCAGAAAGATAATGTGAAAGTTAGTACTTCCAATACATCATAAAGACAAAATAGGTATGAGAAAGCAGATAACAAAATAGGCTCGACCTGACAATTAACACAGCCATCTAATTAGAATGTCAATTTTAACCTCTACCAGACTTAAATACTCGCTTTCATGCACTTATTTTCTTTTGATCACTGCATCATGATGACACCGAAACGTCGTGTATTAAATCTTTCGGTATTTTTTTCATTTCTTTGCTTCAGCAACTCTCTTTTGATCAAAAAATCAGAGTCTGTATATTTTTTTCCAGATGATCCATCTTTGCTTCGATACTACTTAAATTCCTTATTCATTAAATTAAAGTGTCACGACAACTACTGAGTTGTGTGTTCTCAAGACCTGAAAACCTTCCGTCATTTTTGAATACAAGTCATCTCTAGTAGAGTAGTCTACCTACAGAAAACTTTCACACGCAACCTCGACAGACCAGAGTCTCAAAGCTTCTTAGTGTAATGGCACGAATCTGTCAAAACTACCACCACGACAAAAAAGAAGAGCTTGACAAGAAAATCTGCTTACTACAAATTACCAAAACTTCCCCCAAAAAAACCTGATAAAAAAGATTACTTACTATCTTGGTCTGTTCTAACAACAATTGGATCACTGGCTGGTCCATCTCCTTTCACAGTAGATGCAAACACTGTGATATTGTAGTTCACATACTCCTTTAGATTTGTCAATTCTGTCTGACGAACAGAGGCATTTACTTGAACATTTCCATTGTCATTTTCTGTTTGTGACTTGTAAGTAATGGTGTAACCCGTAATGATACCATTCTGTTGATCAGCTGGAACTTCATCCCACATGACTAAGATGCTGGTTGAACTGCTGTTCTGTCCTGTCACATTTTCAGGTGCAGCACCAGGCTCTGGCATAGAAAGTTAATTTGAGTTTGAAAGGCGAAAAGTAACTTAGCATAAACATTACATACAAAAATGTGGCGACAAAAGAGTAGAGAATGAGGCAAGGAGGCAAACCCAAGTAAACATGCAAGGAAACAAGCAAAGAAAGAACTGGAAAGTTTGAAAAGCAAAACATTCCCAAAAGTAATAATGACGTTGACCTTTTGTTCTTACTGTCCTAAGCCAGTGACCCTTTTTACAAACAGCTGTACATGTATGCACCCGACTTTGCAGGAAACAATAGTGATGAAAGGATAAAGAAAATAAATAAACAGCCAACACATTCATTAGTTTTTCTTGTGTACATTAGTTTCCATCAGCTGCAAAAAAGCTGTCGCATTTTAATCATGCAAAAGATCAAATTGATTCACATTGTTATTAAAACATCTAGTAATCTGTGCCAGAGAAATGTAGGGTGAAAGCAATAACAAATGTTACAGATTACATGTATGTAAATGTTGAAACAACTACATTTTTTATATCAGTGTAGAGCACCTTCTTCATCTGTGGTAGCATTTACTACAGGGCTCCCATCACTAGTGCCAACCATGTTTCTTGCAAACACTTTAAAGTAATATAATGTCCAAGGTGAGAGGTTTCCAACAGAAGCACTTGTACTGGACACCACACAGGAACCATCTGACATGGATCCTTGACAGACAGCATCTACAAAGTCTGCATTATCCAGTTCACTTCTCTTCACTGTGTAGTTCTGAATTGCACCGTTCCCATCAAAACCAGTAATCCAGGAAATATTCACTACTCGTGAGCTCTTGGAGTCAACTGACACATTCAATGGTGGGTTTGGTTCCACTGTATAGTTAATTTATATAATAGTACATTCTTCAACAACAATTCATGTACAATCAAAGTTCTCCCCCATTACTCAAAAAGTAACATTATAGATTGACAAAGAATACAGAGTACCAGTGAAAAAAAAAGTGCTTGGTTAAATTATTGAAGCACTATGAATCAGAAAGAGCTTAATCCCCTAGAACAGATTATCTTTTTTTGTTTGTTTGTTTGTTTGTTTTTTTCAGTTTTACTAAGGGTACTCTTAAGTGCTCTTTCACAGGTTCATTACCAGTTAGGAGACTAATGAAGTTAGATCACGATTCTTCTCCTTCCTGTGAATTCCTTTTCAGGGGTTAAGACCTGTAAGGCTGCTGAATGTACATTAATGGTGTAAACCAAAAAAATAGGGAAAGGCACATGACAAATTGAAAACATAGGCACGCAAGGCGTGCAAGAGTTATTTTTTTGCGTGAAGTCTCAGAGAAAGGAGCATTATGGAACTGTTTACAGTAATGATTGGGTTAATTTGACAAGTTTTTTCGGTTGCGATGTAGAGCAAGAAAGAAGCTGGGAATTTATGCTGTACATACGATGCTAAATGGGTAATGGTAAGCTAACTAAATAGTAAGCCATAAATGTTTGACTGAACAAACTACAGCAATCAGACACGTCTCCAGATTAATGTAGAAACCATCTTATTTTCTATCAGGCAATTTGATTCGCTCTTTGATACAACCCACACTGTGACACACGCACATGCATAACTCCCTCACTCACCGATCACAAAGCCCTTCCAGCCCCCAAGAAGAATTTTTGCTCAAAAATACCCAAGTTATGAGAGCTTTCCGCATTTTATACAAATCGTAAGTTTACCCTTTTTGCACAACACAACACAACAACGCTACTTCACCGAAAATTGAAAGAAAGAGAAAAAACTTCTCTGATAAGTTAAAAGTCAGATTTAATTAGATTGCACTTTTACTTGGTGCCACGCAGTCTTCAAAGAACATTTGAACAGTTTTCATAATTCTATCTTTAGAGGAATGCCATAAAATGCGCATCCAATAGAAATATTAAACTGCTACTGCACAGACGTAAAAACCGTCCAGAAATGAAAGCTTCTTTTTCGTTTAATATCCTGGGAACAATAGCCGATAACTTGTCAGCTCTAATTGAATTTACT